CGAGTCTACCCAATGGCGACAGTAACGGCCAAAACACGGGGTCTCCGCGCGAGCGGCGTTCTCTTTGGGCAGACCCACTAGAAAGCACATAAGAGTTCGACCCACTTCAGTGTTCGGCGGCTTCTGTACAATATCTAAGTTTAATTACGCTCTTTGAGGCTGTTTGGCTGCACTCTACGCCTGCAACGTGAAAATGTTCTATAGCTGCCATCATATGAAAGAAATGGACCTGCATCAGCCACGCAATGCACAAGAAAGGCAAGCAGTGGCCTCTCACACCAACGGAATGGTTAAAAAGAGGTGGAAAAAGCAGCCGTTCGTGGCAGCGACTTACGTGCAGGGAAGAAATTAAAAAAATAATTACAGTCAATACATGGAATAGGCTGTGACTGGTGACAATGTTTTTTGTTTTATCTTTCCTTAATAAATAATGGCACATATCCACTCAGAAGGATTGGCAAGATTGAGTAGTTGAGAACTTGAAAGGTCATTCGAAACTGTTTAAAAAATAAAAATAGAAAAACGGTCATGATGCGTATTACAATAAATTAGGACTACAAGTTGGATGATAATCGCGAGGGACTTTCACTTTTTAACGGATATAAAGTAGGCTCCTGCTCATGACGATAAAGAAACTGCGAGAATTTATAGATGGATGGATGAAAAATTTTATTGGGGTCCTGAAGAATTCCACTACCGTTTCATAGAGGTAGGATCAGGGCCGCTGGACAGCATTGAGTTGTTGTATGAGGACCGAACTTATGAGCATTAAATAAAAGGCATTAATGGAAAATTCTTGATCTTTTCCTTGCAAAGAGGAGCCCCTACAGAGCATGTGGTTGAAATAACTCATAAACGAAAATAGTCATTTTTAAAATGAAACGCCAAGAATACTAGCGCAATGGAGACGCTAAAAATAAATAAACGCAGATACCACGAAAAACTTCTTCACAGAATAATCTCAGCAGCATGGATTTAATACGAAAGTACCGACAAAACAATCCACGCAGAAGAGTCAAAATGCAAATGACCAGCGGATCACAGCTTCTAGTATGCCACGCAAAAATCGTCACAGTTGCAAGCGACAAAGTTAACGCTAACATGCTCCTGGAAGATTCTTAATTCTTTGAACATTCATAGCGTGGCTGTGTGGTATTCATTACGATCAAACATATTCAGATCTATCACGTTATTTAAATTAAATCCTACAGTCACGAACCAAGATGTGCATGTGCCCGTGCGTCAAACTCGCATGGCATGTTTACAAGTCACTCAGTATTGCATTGCTATAGTTTCAGTAATTAAAGTAAATCAGCGTGTAACTAATTATATGATAGTTACGCAGTCATTTAGCTTCAATACTTGGATAAACCGCATCAACTATTAAGCTCCGGATGCTTGCGCAGTTTACTTTTTGGCTGTATTCATTTCGAGCGAAAAAAAAATACTCTTCATGTTGCTCCTGGAACGCACCACATCGAACGATCGTCGGTTATGATAGTCTCTCATGCAAATTCATTCTATACAGCAACACGCAGCGCTATGAACTTAAGTGGGCGCTAGTTATCCATTCATAAATACTGCAGGAAAGTGCACACTTAGTTTCTAACCATTAAAAAAACATAAACAGGCGACGTGTGACGCGCCTGCGAAGTTCTCGTACGAAATTGCGTACGCCATGACTGAAGGGTCAAGATGTTCCACGAATTGCAATGTGAAAATCTGATACTGCCAGAAAGATTACGGGCAATTGAAAAGATCATACCGTAACACGTCATTGCGGTGCTCTTCCTGCTCCTTCTTCACCATATTTTAAACCTTTCATAATTCCCCGAACTTCCGCCTTGTTTTGGTTCAGCTTTGAAAAGCCTTTTTTTTTTTTTCGACGGAGGCTTTTGGAACAGAGGTCACATACGCCACGTGACATGTTTAAAAATAAAAAAAAGATCACGAGCACTGACGAGGAAAATAACAAACGTGCTGGCATTTGAATACGTAACTAAGGTAGGCCCACTTAACAGCTGCACAAAAGACAATGCATTAGAAAAAAGCATTGTGATGTCAAGTGTTGAGTCTGAACCTCATTGTTCAGAAAATACCGAGTCCATGTCAAGTCGTGCTGCTTGCGGAAGGTTATAATCTCTTACTAAAAAAAAAAGGTTGCACTGTTTCGTCGGTATTTCCGTATGCCTGAAATGAATGTTTACGCTTTGTAAAGTTCAAAGCAACATGACTGAAGCGAAGTCATGGATCAATGACGGCCGAATAAAGCTCACGTCACAAATATTTATGTGACGGTTAAATTACATAGCGCATAACGCATATCTGCTATAAATAATGATGTAACGCATGCAATGATTGTCATGTTAGTACTTGTCATTCATGTTCGTCATACAGTCACTTCGCACAGTAACAATTTTGTTATGTATCAAGCTAACGAAACGGCCTCGACCGTACTATGATCGTGCACATGCAAGCCATGCAGAACAAGACGTGAATGCCATGATTTTTATGTTACCACCTGCCATGTACATTTGTCAAACAGTCATGTCATGCAATGCCAATTATTGTGTGTATTGTTGCGACTGGCCTTTGGGCCACCAGCGACTTCGGAGAGACGATCTTGGAGGAAGGTGAACTTAACAAGAGGGTTTATTTGCATTTTGTACATAGCGAGTCATCTCGAATGAGCCGGGTGGCTCATAATAGAGAGTACGTTCTCCCCAGATACCTATCCAATCACATGTCACACATACAACTTCCGAGGGTGACGCCCACACCCGCCCAAGTGAATGTGCACTATTGGGGCGTGGTCACCGCACTGCATTGTGGTATACCAACGTGGCTCTTTCTTCTCGTGTGAGTGCCGCTGAGTGAGGATTCCCACACTCACACGACAGGGTGCATCAAAAGGTCCGTCGCACGAAAGTTCAAAAGGTACGCCGAACCACTGTTCAATTAGCGGGGCGAGTTGTCGGTGGGGCTGAGGCTCGCTTGCTGGATTCCGTGCCGACCGGTTGTGCCCTCGCGATCTCCGGCGTCAGCGTAGCTCTGGCCGACTGGGCTCGCCCTACGTCACCTCCTGACGCCGACGACCTTCGACGACAGTGTAGCTCTCACTTACTGGACTTGCTCTACGCCATCTACTGACGCCGACAAGAGCTCTCGCAAGTGGTGCCCCGTGCTCGGACTCCTGTGACCGTGTTTCCATCTTTCCTATCGCCTCAGTTAGTTGTCGCTCCTTCTGGGTTACCACCTCACGTGTCTTCCTCTTTTCTACACCTTTACTTCTACCCCTTTTATCCCTCCTCACCGCCATCCCTTGTGAGCTACTGTTGAGGTGTCGCTCACTGAAGCAGACAGTTACGGGGCTCACTTTTCTCTTTCTCTCTTAAGAATCACCTTCTCGGCGGGGCTGACGCCGCAGACTCTTCCAAGGAGGATGCTACGTCCGCGGAAACCATTGCGGTCGTCTCGGGGATCTGTTTATGAAATCTGACGGCACGGCGCCTCGCCTTCCGGCTAGTAAGGACAATACACCGCGGACATCGGGCCGGCAGCCCTTCGGCGACTTCTTTGACGAAGAAAGAACGCCGCTCCCTCGCCAGCCAACATAAGCGCTGGTCGTGACGGTGTAAAGATAGCGAAATATGGCCGTGAGTGCACCATGTGCGTGGCGTGCACCATGTTCTACGTGACACGGATGTCACGAGTTTAATTTTACCATCTGTCATTTATGTTTGTCATACAGTCACGCCACGTCACAGCAGTCTTCCTGTATATCAAGTTGGTGAACCGGACATGAGGGCACGATGAGGTGGGCAAGTAAATCGTGCTGTACATGGTATGATCGTCATGTTACCTTATGTAATTTATGTTCGTTGTACAGTCCCGTCACCCATCCAGTACCAAGTTTGGAACACTTCAAGCTAGCTAAAAAGCCACGAACGCACTATGAACATCGGATATGTGTCGTGGTATACATAGATTACGCATCACGGTTTTCCCATTACCACCTGGCATATATGTTAGTCAGAAATGTCTCGTCATCCAAGTTTTGTTCCATATCAGGTGAACGAAACGGCCGCTAGTGGATCACAGACGGGGCATGTAAACCATGACGCTTATAACAAGCCATGATTTTTATTATAGGACCGGTCATTTATGTTCGTCACGTTAGCTCAATCATCTTACGCCAACAAAATGTGGTATAAATCCAATTCCCGATACGGTCCGGATAGCACAAAGACGTATAGGCGGCTAGATAAATGGATACGGTAAAAGTCCCTGAAGTTCATTACGAAATGCTTCGTATTTAAAAAGATATGGCGTAGTCAGTCGGACAACCACATGCTTTCGGCGAACACACTTTAGAATTTACAGACTGTCTAATTTTCAACCTCTCTGGCCGGCGTTTATCCTTCGCTTATTGGTCTTCATCGCCGGCTTGCTGTTGCCCCGCCGCGGTGGTCTAGTGGCTAAGGCACTCGGCTGCTGACCCGCAGGTCACGGGATCGAATCCCGGCTGTGGTGGCTGCATTTCCGATGGAGCCGGAAATGTTGTAGGCACGTGCGCTCAGATTTGGCGGCACGTTAAAGAACCCCAGGTGGTCGAAATTTCCGGAGCCCTCCACTATGGTGTCTCTCGTAATCATATGGTGGTTTTGGGAAGTTAACCCGCACATATCAATCAATTAAGCTAGCTTGCTGTTACGTCGTTGCGTCGGGAACCCAGCCTCGGTAGGCACGTGCTTTCAGCAGTTTCGAAGCTCCGAGGCCGTGCCTCGCGATCGTGTCCTTTATGTTTCTCTCAACTGTTCCTATATGTCCTTTCTTCTCCTCTGGTGTGCGCGATCGCGGGAGCGGTGGCCGAAGGGTACAGGCCGGCGCTTAAAACTTGGTTCTTTCGCGGCTACAAATCGATATGTTTCGTAACGTGCACTAGATGCATTGATTAAGATGTAATTTACCAAAGACTTCAACGGACTCGCTGTGCTGCGTGAAATTTGTTGAAGTTTATTTTCGTTTGCCAGGAGCCACGCATATGCTGATCCCTTCTCCCTTGTGAACACACGTATGCGCTGTAAGAAACAACGTGAAAAAATGCACAATATTAAAAACGATATTCTTTCTTGGAATGTGTTTAGGAACAGTTTTTAACGATTGAGAGTACTTGATACTCTGCCATGGGACAGCAAAAGCCGTCCAAGTCCAAAGTGGAAAGGATAAAGATCGTAGAGCATTGCCTGTTGTTATGTCACATCATTTAGCCACCCAGTCAAAGCTTATGCGCTTGCTGAACGCCAAGCCATTTTATTCGCATGAGCTATACTCATCCAGACGTTATCCTATACAGATCATTAACGAATTGAAAAAAAAAGCAATTTGGCTAATAATTGGCAAAAACACTTATTAAAAAGACGAATGGCGAACTCAGTGCATAAGGTTCACCATAGTTTTTCTACCCTCAACTCTCAAGCAGCTCCGTTTTCGTTAGGGATACCACACAACAGTGCAGAGTCCAGCCAATACTTGTTGAACGAAATCTGGTCTTACACACACACACACACACACACACACGTATATATATATATATATATATATATATATATATATATATATATATATATATATATATATATATATATATATATATATATATATATATATATATTACTCAAAGCGATTTATACAAGTTTCGTTAGAGGGAAAAATATCATGACAGCACAAGAAATTTTCTGGGTGTTCTTTGTAATTTCTACTTTCACACGTTTGGGTTCGTTAAGAAAACGTAATCCGTGCTGTTACGGAGAGTCTACAAATGACATAAAAGACAACGAAAAGATGTAGTGAAAAAAAAAAAGGATGATTGGAGAAAGCTAGGTGGCACTGGTTTCGCGGCAGCAGCATGATTTGTAATTAACTCGTAATCACGCGATATTACCGATGACGGCTGCGTTATTTCGAACATAAATTTACTTGCATTATATTCTTAATCAGCTTGACTATATGCATTCTGCAAGAAGGCATAGTCTATGCATCTCCCATGATACGCCAATCAATCTGGTCCCGGTGCTTTCTGGTGCCATGTTATGCAATCAGACATCTCAATCTCATCTGACCGCCTAATTGTTCTCTTATCATCGGCCGTAAGTAGTGATCAGCGTGCTAAGTAATACGAAAGGAGAGAGAAAGCAGTTCAATGGGTACTGACACTATTTCTCGGAGGTCACTCTACTCTGCCATACAAGTCTCCTGTGTGTAGAGATGGCTCTGAGCAAGCTTGAATCTCAGAAAATGCTGATAAGATACTTTCTTTTGATATTCAAGTAATTTTTCACATGGCGCACCTGCCGACATCGGCCGAAACTTGACGTTAGGTCACAATACAAATTCTGATGATATCACGCCAGTCTGGTAAGTTCCGATGACGTAAGCAACCAAAACATGGCCACTCATGCATCCCCAGAACATTCGAAATGGCCGCTTTGCGTCACCAACGGAGATACAGTGCGGAACTGCTGTGGAAACGTCACGAGATTTTGAGCGAGCTCGTAGCGAGAAGCTCATGTCCTGTCGTGACGTCAAAGTACCGTAGGAACTAAAACTAGCTTTCAAAAACACCTTGTATAATTACTTTTTTTAGGCTGCAGTCACAGTTTGCAGTGCGTATTCAAAGCTGTCGAAGGCTTAGCCTTTGATTTCGAGCAGAAATACAGCAACTGAAAACCTTCGTGTCCCTTTAGGCATGCCACATCATTTTAAAGCATGCTAGCAATCCCTGCAACTGCACTCAGATTTTACGGATCGTAAATGTTTTCGCGGCGGTCGGTTCGTGAGCCAATAAACTCAGACGTATAAGGTCATTAGATTATCGCTTGGAAAAGTGTTCCTGGTCTTTTTTTCAATATTACGCCAAACATTTTTCGTTTCATGTCACTGCGCGTTGCATAGCGTACTTCACCCGTGGGGATTGAGAAAATATAATGATTTGACATTTTATATACATTGCAACTTACGTGATGCACAAGGGCAGTATGTTTTATGTGAGCCACTACGCTCGTCCAGTGAGCAACGTTGACCAATCTGAGCCAGCGGTTGACAGAGTTTAGGGCCGTGGGTGCTCACACAACACGTTTCTGGTGAATCGCAGTTCTGCGAAGTATCACACTGATCGCCGCTTCCTTCTCCCCAGTCAACCTAAACAAAAACAGTCAGGCTTAGAGCGCATCCACCATGTTTTTCGTTTTTTTTTTTCGGAAACATGTAAATGCGTGTTTACAACTCGCTGCAAAGTGCATGACATCAGACGTTTGACAAGGTCACATTGCTAGAAAAACCACGAACGTTCTTTTCTTTCCAGAGACTATACCCACAAAGTAGTAGGAGTTGCCACCGAATTTTCGCTGTAATTTTTCTATGTTCAGAATGAATCTATTTAGCATTTGTTCGATCAGGTCTGGCATACAGAAAATCCACCATTAATTGAGCTCTTAAAATTGCCGGGCCTCAAAAATAAAAGGACTAAACTCAAAACTGCAAAAGCAGCGCCACCACTTCTCGCATGTACATAAATAAAACTTTGCCTCTGGAGATGCTTTCTTTTTTTTTCTCTCAAAAAGGGTTACAGATAAAGAAGAGTAAAAATTAACTGGCAGCTGGTCACGTTTTTGCCGTGTAAGTTGCAAATACTTTCACGCGAAAAGCAACAAACTGCTTCTATGTAAATTGTTTATTAATTGCACCTATCTGCCGGGACAGCGTATGTGAAATAATACGAAAAAAATAAAGTAACACTCATTTAACGCGTATCGAAAACATCAACATATGTAGAGGGTGCTTTTAAATCGGTACAGATTCTTTTTCAAATAAGAGTCCTATGACAGTAGGGCTCCAGCAGTTTTCGCACGCGAACTCAACATTCAGGCGGAATTACTGTGTCGCAGTTAATATCTCACTGTCACGAATAATTAAAAAAAATTGTTAACATATTATTTCTGACTTGAATACAAGTGTTGATATAACAAAGTTGTAGTGCCTGCCAATTTATGGCCTACTTAATTTTTTTTAGAAATCACGCAAGGTTTCCACGTAGTTTGAGATATTCACCATCGAACTTCACGGGCGAAATTGAAACTTATGACGTTCACTGCGCGCCAGGAGCGGTGGAAGATAGGAATATGTCAACGTAACATGGAAGTGACAGAATTTGAATGAAGGCGCATCAAAGCGGGATTCGGTCAGAAAAATCGGCAAGCACTCTGAAATAAGCGATCAGATAGCTTGACCTTTGCTTGCATTGGGTAGTGCATGTGGAGTTAAATAAACTATTTGCCCGACGGTTGTACCCGGGGCTAGGCTGTCAGGGATCAACTCGTCTGTTTCACAAACTATAGACGGTTTCAAGGTTGCAATAGTTGTACTAAAAAAAAAAAAAAAAAAACTTCCGGCCACCTCATTTACCGGCTCCTAACGTCGAAACTGACAGCACATTTTCAAGTTATTTTCGAGGGTAAGGAAAGTCTCTTTTACATAAAAGTAACGTGCGTAAAGTACAATAAAATGTGTTACGACTTTTATTAGCTCAAAAAAAAACATTTATGTGAATACAGTTAGCCAAATAAGGGAAGGAAGCTGTGGAAAATCAGCGGGCTATTTTCTAAAGCTCTTGTCCACCGATGCTATTAAGGCACATCGGCGGACAGAGCCGTATTTCATCAAAGGCCTGTGTTTATACACGGAGCGAGAGTTTTTTTTTTTTTTTGCTGTCAGCAAAAACAAACACTCGTGCGAGCGTTTATTGCAACCCGGAAAAAGTCTGTCTTTTTAAATGAAGTGTGTGTGCGTGTGCATGTGTGCGTGTGCGCATGTGCGCATGTGTGCGTGTGTGTGTGTGTGTGTGCATGTGTGCGTGTGCGCATCTGCGCATGTGCGCATGTGTGTGTGTGTGTGTGTGTGTGTGTGTGTGTGTGTGTGTGTGTGTGTGTGTGTGTGTGTGTGTGTGTGTTGTGTGTGTGTGTGTGTGTGTGTGTGTGTGTGTGTGTGTGTGTGTGTGTGTGTGTGTGTGTGTGTGTGTGTGTGTTTCTCTCATCTTTTTGATCACCGATCACGCGTTCTCTTTTTGCCGTCAGTAAATCATACTGTCGTAGCAAGGATGCCTGTGACACAACTGTATACCACACAACAAAAAAATATAGCGCACTTACGAAGTCGCTCTCCTCCGCGGCAGCGTGTTTCGTGACTGTGTGCGTTGCAAACAATACGGCGACGGCAAGGAAGAAAGCTTTAAGGTGGCACATTTTGTTGCGTCACTTGCTATCCGCCGCCCGTACTTAACGCCGCACGCTCCAAGCTTCGGTGTAATGCAGGCAACTTTCTCTTGTTACAGCATCTACTGCGACAAAAAAAAAAACATACATTCATACAACAAAGGTGATCTAGCCAAAAATGTTAGAGAAATTTATTAACAATGCTGGACAGATTCGAAAAAATTAAGTTTATTGGCGAGCGTGGGTTTCCTTACCTTCTTTATTTATTCGCATACTACAACAGCACTCACAAGCAATAGCTAATTTTGACTGTTTCCATTTCTTACTTTCCTTCAAACCTCCGCTACGTTAGTGGTGCACGTGTGCACTCTGGCCCTTCTCACGTCCTTTTGTCGGCTAGTGCTGGTTAATGACGCCAAATTTTGGTCAAATAAGACTAAAGTGCCACTAATTGCGGCTCCCACCGATTAGTGTCGGTCGACATTTGCTAGCCTGAGCCATCCTCTTTCTGTAATAAAAGAAACTTCGTCTTCTATATAAACGCTGAACAAACTAAATCAAACTTTTTTCGAAAAAAAAAGATTCTCGCATAGTGGCTGTACGCGTCGCAGGCCAGCAAACGACGTGGGCACTGCTAGGTTTGTTTGTTTGTTTTTGAAATCAACCGGATTAAGCAGTCACTTGTAAGCTTCCGATAGATCGGGGCATATGTACCCAGACGGCCATTTCTTTTCGCTAACACCATCTCCCTTTCCCCAGTGCAGGGTAGCGAATAGAACGCACACGTCTGGCAGAACTTCCTGCCTCTCATTTCTTCCCTTCCTCCTCCTTCCTAATTATTCACACCATCCGTGTTCTCTGCCATCCTTGACTGCCCTTCTCTTGACCCCTATAGTCAATTTATAATGAAACCTATATTATGGCCCCTATGCCGATGCGTGACGTCAGATACTTCAGCCTAAGCATGATGTACGTAGCTCCATTGTTTTACTCTCTCTCAATGTCAATTATTTAACACCATGGCTGCACCCGATCACTCTCCGATTTCCCCAGCTGTCATCGTGCACTTTAGTGTTACGCTCAATATTTCTGGTTCTATTGCTCCGCGCGGCCCGTAACTTTCGACATTTCAGCTGAATATGTTAATAAGGTAAAAAATTCAAGAGAGCTCTCGGGATGACGAAGAAATATTAAAACTTTACGCTCACAAATCAAGCGGCCACTCAAAACTAGGCTTGTGCGAATAGCAAATTTTATAACCGACTCAAATACTGCCCAAGTAGTTTCGAATAGCAAGGTAGTTATTTTCAAAGCATCCATAGAATGGTTATGCCATCATATTAATTAATTAGTATCTGGGGTTTTACATCCGAAAACCGCTATATGATTGGGAGAGACGTCTTGGCGGAGGGTTTCAGAAATTTCCAGCATCAGGCTCATGTTCTTTAACGTGCACTGACTTTGCAGATAAGACGGGCCTCAACCATTTTGCCTCCATCGAAATGTGACCGCCATGGTAAGGATCGAACCCGCGACCTTCTGGCGTGTCGGCAGGTGAGCGCCGTAGCCAATGATCCCCTGAGGTGGACTTACGAAACAATCTTCGAAATGGCCCAATGATTTCACATCCTTTCTATTTGAATCCAGTATTCACAAGCTTTGCCAAAAGAACACTAAGGAAACTTCTAACAAACAAAATATGCTTCAAATATGTAAATTCAGGCAAGCTCGTATGTGGAAACAACTGGAGCCTCAGCAATGTTTTTAACTGCAAGTTGAAATGCAGCATTGGCTACAGTATTCAAGGTGGTATTCAAGGTGGTACTTTGCCAATACCAATAGCTTTTAAATAAAACTTGCTTATATATATGAAACAATATTCATGAGTCAACATCACCATAAATGCAATTATGTAGCTAGTAAATCGATGACTCCATCGCTTTGTCAACAGTTAAGTTTTAAGCAAAAAAAGATATCACAGCACATTCACGGAGTGAATGATGATGAGTGGGGCAAAGCGTCCGTCCGGACGAACGCATGGACGAACGCTTCGCCCAACTCATCATCATTCACTCCTTGGATATGCTGTAACACCATTTTTATTGAGATTTTGCAGATTCCATCAGCAAGCATGAGCGTTTCAGAAAAAAAAAAAACATCATCGCAAAGAGCCTAAAAACTGGATACCCTTAAGCTTCGCCTTTAAAGGGCCAGTAAATAGGCTCCGACTCTTTTATCTGCCAAATATTGCAGCGCTGTGTGCCACGCAGACACTCCATTTCGAAAGAACTTGGGCTATTACCCCGAAGGTAACCCTGATGGGATGCGAAGCAGCAGCGTTGCGCGTGAGTGGTGTCACGGGTTGAACGGTGCTAACACGGGGGCTGCAGTGAGCGTTGGAAGATTTCTTTGAAGCGATGGCTGGCGTAGGTCTTGTAGGTGACAGGTACAGGCATGTTTCAATGAATACGTTAGGCGCACGTCAGATTTATTACGTGTGAACGGACGAATCGGCTGGCGTCGGTGGTGTAGTGAGCGGCGGTCGCGGCAGGTGTTGCGGGCGAACGAACGAGGCGGCAGAGACGAACGAGACGCAAGCTCTTGGGGCGTAGCGGGCTTGGGGGCACGCGGCGTTGCGTACCCAACCCATACCCAACTAGAATGCCTTATAGAGGCTCGCACGCAAACGCAAGCCGCACGAAGGTCACACGCGCTCGCAGTGCCATAGCGTCTTGTCGCTTAAGTATTACTTAATTATGTTTACGATTTAAAATGTTAAATGAAACTTACATATAGTGACATGAGGTAAACTAATTTCAAAAAATCATTTTTAAATATTATGACAGTTATCAACACGGAACAAAAAAAAACTTTTTCGTATGTGGCACACTTGCAACTGAAGCCGGCACCGTCGACGCCAAGCAATCCAGACGGCCGGTCGTAGTCCGACAAGCGCGACGACATAGCAACGGTGTAACGTGTAACTCTGTGTAACTTTTAGCTTGTACGTATACTTCTTTACGTTAACGTGTTACCGGATACCAGTTTGCGTTTACCTTCCTACCTCTACCAACGTTTTGAGCTCATGAGACGTAAATATGAATGCCTTTACGTTCTCGCAAACCATAAATGGTGATGCTAACTGCATTTAAACTGCATTTAACTTGCATAGGAATGAATCACCGTTGCGGCAAAACCACGAGACTTTTTATCGCAAAAAAGTGAAAAATACAAGGTTGCTGTAACGGGTGTCGTCATCTTGTGACACTTCGTGCAACCACAGTCATGAACATGTTGGCTTACGCATATTGTTTTTGAGGTGAAAATGAATAAAAAAAAGTTACTAATGTGTAATGACAGAGCTGCGCGGTTTTCGCACTATATGTACAATGCACAATGTTTCTGCAATAACAATGTTGTGATTGTCTGGTTTACCATGGCCGCGCTAGATGGCGCCACCTATTCAACTGGTCTGAGGGCTGGCATATTTTTAGTTTTTATGTTCCAGGACATTCTAACTTTGGTAATCTGGCTGAAACCGTGTAATCGCTATAAGTGCTCGCACTTTGGCTTATTTTAACTAGACGGCTAGAGTATCCGCAGTGCGGATACCGTGAGTTCCTGCGAAGGTGGACCTTACAAGGCGGCCGATCCATGCTGTCCGAGATTTGGTGCCTTTGTGCCATAATATTTATACAGTGGCTATCCACTATATTATTTGTGCTTAAAACTTATAAGTGAAAAATGGTGGCGCTGGCCAGCCTAGGCTTTGCTCGCCGTGATGGTGAGTGACATCACGGGTAAAACGATGCGCCAGGGCAGCTTATCTCCGCTAGGAGGCCAGTAGTGACAGCGTTGTTTATGGCCGCGCGGACGCATCGCCCCATCGCCCTAGCGATCTTGCGATGCATCTCTTTGGGGTTTCGCGCATGCGCAATACCACCGCCCCAACGTCCTGGGTACGCAAGCCGCTTGGGTACCCAGCACTAAAACTCCCTAGAGACATCAGCGGGCACTGCGAGGTGAGCGTGACGTAGACGCACAGCAGCGGCGCGTCTATTTGGCGCTGCGCCAACACCTGCGGTGCGTTCGTATGGAGGGACAGCGTTACACAGGCTACTCAAAGAGATGCTCCGCATCTAAAACGATTTCGTGCTTCTTTCCCTCGCCTCACCAATCCTCCACGTAAGCGCACTATGACGAAAGCTTGCCCCATGGGCAACGTTAAATGCAACACTGAGCTCGATGATTGGTTCTTTGCTCTACGAAACGGTGCCTTGGCCCCGCAGCGATGCAGTTTCAGCCGCACAGTCCACATTTTCATTTTTCTATGCTGCCCTTTGCTGTATTGCAGAGCCCGAGATATGGTACCATACCCGAGACTTTGAGAGAAGCGGTAGTGCCAGAATGAAATCCTCCAAGATAAAGAGGCATCTTACTATTAAACTGCCAGGGGAAAAGTACTCCTCAGTCCATTTTGTACCCGCGTCACTATGACACGTGCTCCAAGATAAAGAGGCATCTTACTATTAAACTGCCAGGGGAAAAGTACTCCTCAGTCCATTTTGTACCCGCGTCACTATGACACGTGCTCCAAGATAAAGAGGCATCTTACTATTAAACTGCCAGGGGAAAAGTACTCCTCAGTCCAGTTTGTGCCCGCGTCACTATGACACGTGCTCATGTGAAGTAAAAGCTCCCTCGGTCGTTGCTTGCGCACCGATGACGAATCACGGACGTCAATGGCATTGCCGAAGTGGGCGAAGTCAGAACGACGGGCTACTGCTTCGCGGAGAAGGGTGGTAAGCGGCCGCACGAAAATTTGAAGCTGGCTGAAACGGATGTTATAACGCTTGTAACTTCCTTATTATAGCACGTATTCGCAAAATTCTTGCGGAAGCATGTTCTCCTACTAAAACTTCACATATTTCTCTTCATTAAAATTTTTGGACCTCAGTGCTGTTAACTGGCCCTTTATGAACCGAACGTGATATCGATACCCTATCCCTCGGTGCGTACTTCATCTCCTTTAGTGCATACTTCTTATTGTATGATTTTACTCAAGAAGTGTACGGTGTAATGGATAAACTTGAAAGTGGCTTGTACGTCTCAGTGAAGCTTTCACATACGGTGGCATTTTGTGTAATGAGTAGTATGCTTTAACCACGAAATCTTTCTGAACTTGCTATGCACCCACTATATAGTCTTAACACTGGTTCCCACCGAAGGCGACGCGACAAAGCGGGCAAGCGGGCTTTTCGAAGCGACGAGGCGGCGAGTACGTGGACCTGTTCAGACTGCATCCCTCTTTCAACTTGCCGCGCGGCAGAAGAGGCGGGCATCTGGCCCTTTTGCGCACGAGTCGCTATGACGTGGCGATGCTTCTCCCAAGCGCACACACGCGCCACCACCACGCCTCCCGCTGCTTGTCATTCTGATTGGCTGCGGCAAAGCGGCGAGCCTCGGCAGGCGGGAAAAAAAATTGCTGCGAGAGCGATCGCCCTTGCCGCCTGGAGAGGAGGTTTTTTCCGCGTTGCCGCCCCGCCGCTTTGGCCACCCTGCCTTCTTGGTCACTACGCCGTGCTCCCGACCGGGTTGTAGAAATTAGGTGCCTTTTCTCATCTTCTAACCACTACCACCACCTAAGGTGTGAACTAGCCTTTAGGGCGGTTCCACGCGCTTCCCGCACAGCCGCAACGCACGTGCCGTGACCCCTACGCACGCAAACGGGGACAAATAAGCCAATTGGTGACGCTCTTTCACCCTCCCCAGCGTCGCCAATTGGCTTATTTGTCCCCTGCTTGCGTGCGGTAGGGGTCCCGGCACGTGCGTTGCGGCTGTGCGGGAAGCGCGTGGAACATCCATTAAGGGAATACGCGCAGTAAAGTGCGTGCTCTTTGTAATGGGTGGCTGGCTTTAAGCTACGAATTCGTTATCTTATTCACACGTTCTGACGCCCGATGGCAATGTACGCTTGTTCCATGCAATATCACTGTGATATTGTCACGTAATACAATGTGTTTTATTGTTTAGCCCAGCTGCACGACACACGTGTTTGTTAAGCATAAACATTATTTTTCAACGTATTTAAAACCAGGCGCGTGGATGTATGACATAAAAATGGGTAATGTTCGGCTAATATATGATCGCCTACACCAAAACAACTCTGTAAGATTCACAGTAGGTATATACCATAGAAGTGTTGCAAGAATAATTGAGGCAAAAAGAAATGCCGCAATGGTACACCTGCCTGTCACGCAAACGATCTGGGTTCGATCCTCACTCAGACCCACAAACCTTTATTGTTCATTTTATCTGCATCCTCTTCAATTTTTCAGTCGCGTGCAAGATGATTTTTCGCTCACAACCAGCGACACCCACGCAGACGCCGACGCCACAATTTCTGCGAAACAGGCTCTTCAACGCTCTCGCGTTATAATAATAAGACGTCATTTTAACAACGCTCATCGATAAATGTCATATCTGTGCTATCAAAATAAAAACACCAATGCTGAATGCGTCAGTTAATCATCGGTCTTTTCGCATAGCACAAAGACCAGGTTTATCGATGAGCGCTGTTAAGATGACGTCTTATAGATTTTTTTAAGATTTTTTTTTTCGATACCTTTCTAAAACGCGCATGCTGGTTGATGGTTTCTTCGGAATGAACTTGACCGTGTGCGATAAATGTTAGTTCCAAGTCTGCGTTAATCTGTGTGTGCGCGCGCGCGCATGCATGTGTGCGTGCGTGTGTGTGTGCGTGTGTGTGCGTGTGTGTGTGTGTGTTTCAGGTAGGGCAGTTATTGCTTTTAAGATAGTGTCCATAGTCTCGAAAAAGTAGTAGTAATGGTGCTCATTGATGGAAAGGAAAAAGTAGCTAATTCCTGTCTGCCTAATCTGGTGACACGGCTAAGCTACTTGTAGCGGATGGGAGAAAAAAATAAAAATAATAGTTGATTGATCGATATGTGGTGTTTAACGTCCCACCACCACCATATGATTATGAGTGACGCCGTAGTGGAATGACGAATCTGCCTCGCCGCATCCGCTCTTGAAAGCGTAATCGGAACGCTGTTCACTTCTTCATGTGATGTGCGAGCAGATTCGTCAACTGGCCCGCAGTCTCACACTGACTGAGTGGAACACACCAAGCACACGACGTACAAGACTGCACGAGCTCGACCCTTCACTACAACTCCGGCCTCCACCCGGCCTACATCGACGTGCAGCTTCGCTTCTCTGTCGCCTTTGGCTGGGAGTTGCTTTCACGAAAGCTTATACCACGTTAATCAGAATTACTGACAGTGCGGCGTGCGATGTTTGCGGCACCGACGAAAATGTCGAACACCTGCTGTGCCATTGTCCTCGATTTGCCTCAGAGAGACAAGTACTTGCCAACGCAATGCGGCGACTGGATGATCGGCCTCTTTCTGTGCAGGTGCTATTACAGCAACGTCCACATGCCTCGACAGCCCACAAGGCAGTGAAAGCCCTGCTGTGTTTCCTGAGAAAGACAGGCTTGTGTGAACGCCTCTGACATGCGGTAGAGTTCTACACGCTGCAGTGAAATTACTGTCAGTCTCTCCCCACCCTTTTTTTTCTTTTCCCTCTCTTCCCTCTTTCTCGTCTTTCTTGTCCCCTTCCCTAATCGCCCAGTGTAGGGTATCCAACCAGATGTCTTTCTGGTTAACCTCCCTGCCTTCTCCCTTTTGTTGCTTCCTTCTCCGCCGTAGTGGAGGGCTCCGGAAATCTCGACCACCTGGGGTTCTTTAACGTGCACCCAAATCTGAGCACACGGGCCTACGACATTTCCGCCTCCATCGGAAATGCAGCCACCGCAGCCGGGATTCGATCCCTCGACCAGCGGGTCAGCAGCCGAGTACCTTAGCCACTCGACCACCGCGGTGGGGCAAGAATAATAGTAGAAAGGCAAAGAAGATAAAGCACTTGCCACACAGGAGTGACAGAAAGAAGAGAGAAGAGTTAGGAAAAATGGAGGACACCGTCCAAGGAGTCCGAGGACGGGGCAACGATCGGCGAGAGCTACATGGCGTCAGGAGATTGCGGACAACACAACCGTTCAACACGCACTGAACGCATCTTCATCATTCAATGATGGCAACGATACCCTTCCTTCTTCCAATTTGAGGTTATTTCGTTGGTACTTGTCACTAGAAAAGTATATTGTATTTCTTACTATACACTATTTAATTCGAGTGTAGAACCGAATAGAACACTATGCGATTCTTTATTTGACATTTCGAATATTCGCACGACCCTACTGAAAACTTGAAAGGATTATTCCAAGGTTATGGGAATAATTCCAGTTTTTCGTATAGTTCGTTTTTTTCTGTTTTTTTTTCTCGTCATGTTCACTGCTTTAACAATGTTCAGGCCTAAAATCAAATTTTCCAGCGACCCACGTCGCTGCCTATATTTTTATAGACCCGGCAGACAGCAATAAATGTGTGATTTTTTTCCCTAATTAAAGTGATTGCATGAATACATAGTTATTAAGCTTTCACGGGAAAAAATATGCCTCTAGCTCCTTTGACAAATTTGTTTACCCATGTTCAAGTTCTGACGACGACGACGACGACGACGACGACGACGACGATGATGATGATGATGATGATGATGATGATGACTTGTATGTATGACTCAAACCCACTCTGAAGGATTCGCCAAGAAACTAATAATTTCTAAATGAAAGTGATAACATAAAATGACTAATAAAATATAGAATAGTTATAAATTAACGATGTTAATTTGGATACGTGAACTCAAAGCCACCCGCATTCACTAAACAAATTCTATCAGGAACTCAGATTCCGGTGATAATGAACTAATGATGCCACGAAAGATAAGATATTGGAAATAATGAAATCCATTTTAATTCGATCGTGTAATGTTTTGAGAATATTTCTCCTGAGTACATTGAAATGGTTACATGATATAAAATAATGCTCGATTGTTTCGTCCTTGTTTCAAAACGAATTTCCTATGGAGGAGGAAATGTTGTAGGCCCGTGAGCTCAGATTTGGGTGCACGTTAAAGAACCCCAGGTGGTCGAAATTTCCGGAGCCCTCCACTGCGGCGTCTCTCATAATCGTATGGTGGTTTTGGGACTTTAAACCCCACATATCAATTAATTGTTACAAAACGAGCAAAGAGGGGAAGGATCCCTACCAGTTCATCTTGCGGTAAACGTATATATTACCTCTTCTCCAAACACGTAAGATTGACCCAGAGTAGAACACACATGGCTGCTAATGCTAACTATAGAATATCGCCTACCCGTGTTACCACGTGATTACATTGTGAACATTTCTTTCAGTAGAAACGATTATAGGAATGGTGAAAATTAATCACTCTACTAAGCGTCAACGATAACAAAGACTACTCACTTTTAATGATTTAGCTACACTCATTGAGTGCCTGGTACGATGCAAGTTCTGTATTCCTTAAATACCTGCGAAAATATTTCTACAGCAGGACCTTCATAACTGTTCACTACACTCTTTTACATGCTGGCTGCATCCAGGTTCCCGACTATATGTAGCATTTTAATCAGAGTGCGATCAAGAGTGTACTTAACATAGGCTATGGTTATTTGCTCTCTAATTCACACCTCCGCCTTCCAGTTTGCTGGAGCCAACATTTTTCGTCCAATCGCAAGTTGCATGTCTTAACTTCCTGTGTTTCTTTGTTAACGTTCAAGTTCCCGGCCCGCATTCTAGCTTTTGTAGAGAGCAATGTAAACTTCTCAGAAACGGCTCTTGCAATAATTTCAGAGGTTAACCAGTTCACTAAGCATGAACAGAAACAAAATGACTCACCTCTGCTGTGAAAGATTCGTCTGCTCACCTTCAATATCGCACGGCACATATATACGTTCATGTTCTCTTCCGACGCGTTATAATAGTTAAACAGCATCACATCAATCGCTGGTTCCCAGAATAGAAACAAGCGATGTACACATGAGCGATCGCTTGTCTGACCCTGGCGAAACTCGCAGTCGTATTGTGGGCACGTCTTCGCAAACAAAGTATGTGGTGTGTCGCAAGCTTTATATGCTAAAAGACTGCAGGCTAAACAGAAATGAAGACATGGCACGCTCACGTAAAAGCACACAGCTAATTAGCAAATGACACGTCTCTGTGAGCTCGTATGTATTGAGACTATGAAGTGATCACATATCATATCCTGGCGACACGGGCCATTGTAAAGAGAAGAAAATACAGAGAGCGAATAGACGTATGTATGCGTGCACTCTTAAAAAAAAAGTAGTGCTACTTGCTACTTTTGGGTAGTAACAGT